GTGACAATCCATCAACTTCCTGAGTTTCACCTTTATATTTGTGCCCATCTATGCAGTATTCAATGAATTCCATACTATTTTCAGTGAGTGTTCCAGTCTTATCTGTAAATACATAATCCACCTGTCCAAGTTCTTAATTAAGGTCTAATGTATTAACCAAGGCACCTTCATTAAGTTCTTCATCATAAAAGTCCTTATCCCAAGAGATGAAGAAGGAGCCTAAGAATTTTTGCATTTCCACTGTGAAATACATGGAGACAGGAATGACAAAGTTGAATAGAACCATAAATGATAGGAAGTCGGTGAACATTTTCAAAACCTTCAAAGTCTCCCATTCTTTCTGGGTCTTTTGGTTATACCAAGGTTCGTCATTGTGTGGAGTACTCTGCCAAATATACTTTAGAGTAGTGCATACTGCTGCTTTGGTCAGTAAGATAAATAAAATATACAATCAAGAAGGCATTAATGGATTTTTCGACAGCAGAATGTTTCTGAGATTTTCCTTGGTAGTTCAAAGCCATTTTTGTTTCCATCCCAGTGTAAACAGCAACTCCATATATCTTCTTGGTATTTTTTAGCATAGTTCCTTTCAGCAAGAGATTTTCAGGTCCCAGAGACCTGGCAACAGCTTCAAGACTATTACTATAGATATTGATTTGCCCAACAAACTTGTAGAGGTCAGGTTGAGGCTGTTCACATTCAATTGCAGCTTGGAGCCTATCAATGGATTCAGCTGTACAGAGTGCAATAGTGTCCCGCACTGCATAATGTGTCTTGCAATTGGATTCTCCATCTAGACTGTCTGTAGTGACATAACAGGTTCCATCAGTGGTGCAGGATGATAGAAGAATAAGATCACAGGGAAAGGTTTCATCTGCCTGTACTTCTACTACATCACCAACCTTGATTTTTTCACTTTCTTTTCTCACTCGTTTTGCATTTTCAATAATGTAAACAGTGCTCTTGTTGACTTCATTGTCAGGTCTGTGTCTCAGCCAATCTTCATACCCCTGTTTACTGGCTGTAACAGTCATAACAAAGAAAAGTGGAAGTCCACTAGTAACTGGGCTAGCTGGTGTGTCTACTGTGACCTGTACAATGAAAATGATGAGAAAATAAAAATTTGCAATTCTTCTAAACTGTTCAAATAAATTCTTTGGGAGGAAATTCCAAAGTGTATACTTAGATGAGACTATTCTGTTATCACAAAATCTCTATGCAATATAAGTTTCTGTTTCTGAAATTGGATGATTGCCAACAAACACTGTGCATGTACCAACTCGCTTCTCCTCTCCAGCACAAAAGCGATTCAAGCTCCAGCGGAACATCGCATTGAAGGCTGCCTGCCATGGAGCAGGGCTCTGCTGGGCTGTCCGGGAAGGCACTGTCCACAAAACACATTCCACTTTCTCAGTAAGGCTGTAAAGTCAGGCTTTGTGTTGCTGCTAGTGATATCTTTTTTTAATCCTTGATGTACACTTCTATAGGCTATTCAAGAAGACAGGTATAGGAAACTCCATTATTGCTTAGGGAGTAACTAAATGGCTATTCTTTTGTATATTAAGTATACAACTTTTAGCAATACTACCTTCTACGCACTGGCTTGCCCTCTGGCATAACAGAGGTGAATGAAATAATTGCTGGAGATGACACTTAGACCAAGAAATAGGATGTGGCAGAAAGGAGAACAGAAATAATAAGGTTTGCTAAGAGTCTGTCCACAAAAAACAACCTACCCCAAAACAATTTCTGTATCTATTCCTGCTGGGTAGGATCAGGCACAGGGAAGACAAGATCTTAACTGTATACAGTATTTTACATAGCACCTATCACAATTTAGTGAGTATATTTTTTCATGAAACTCCTTTTTTCAAATGTCTTTCATAAGCCAGAAACTTGATTTCTGTAAAGTGCTGCCTATTAAATTTTCTTAAATATAAGTTTTATTTGGTATTTCTTGAAATGATTGGAAGAACAAAATGAAATCATCTGGGCTGCAATATTTCTTTTTCAGAAGGGTTTAAATTATGAATTTAATTTTTTTAGTTGATATAAGAATGGAAATAATATGAGAAAATGGAAAAATAGGAACAAAGTCTTTGTAAATAGGGAGGAATGGAGGGGTTGAAGGGAGGGCTGGGCAAGGGTGAAAAATAAGAACCAAGAGAGATTATGTAAAGGTGCAAATTTCCAATGATGAATGTCATTATATTGTATACCTAAAATGTACCAATGATTAGAATGAATAATCAATAATGCAAAATAGGAAGAAAAGGTCCAAAGAGGTAGGGGTAAGGGTAGGGGCAGGGGAGAGGAAAGAAGGGAAAGGAAAAATGATGAGAAATTGAAAAAATGGAAATAAAGTCTTTGTAAATAGAGAAGAGTGGAGGGCATGAAGGGAGGGCCAGGAATGGGGAAAAAATAAGAACCAAGATGCCTCATATAAAGGTACAAGTTCCCAATGAGAAATGTAATTGTGTTGTATACCTAAAATGTACCAATAAAAGAATTTAAGAAAAAAAAAAAAGAATATTCAGGCTATTTCTTCTTGGGCAAGTTTTATTGTGATTCTTAGAGGAAACTGTTCTATTTCAGTTAAGACAACATATTTATGTGTGTGTGTGTGTGTGTGTGTGTGTGTGTGTGTATGTATGTTATCTATATTATTCTTTTATTATCTTTTGAGTATCTAATTCCCATGAATAATCTTTTTTGATTTCTTGGATTATTTAGAGGTGTGTGTTTTATTAGTTTCCAAGTATGTGGAGATTTGCCAATTACTTTTCTCTTACTGATTTCTATATTAATTCCATTTTGATCAGAGAACATACTTTTCATTATTTCAATTTTTTGTTTTTTAAAACAACTCTTTTGAAATATATTTCACATATGATTCTTCCATTTAAAACATACAATGTTTTTGAGCATACTCACATAACTGTGTAACTGTCACTACAGTTAATTTCATCATCTCCAAAAAATGCTTCATTAGCACTCATTTCTCATTGCTCCATGGGACCCACATGGACTACTCTACTTTCTGTAAATCTGCCTATTTTGGACAATACATATATAGTCATGCATTGCTTAACAAGGGCCCATTCTGGAAAATGTGTTACTAGGCAATTTCACTGTTGTGTGAACATCGTAGTATATACTTAAACTAAGAAGGTTATCATGTCACTAGGTAACATAATCTTATGGGGCCACTGTCATGTACATGGCCTGTTGGTGACTGAAATGTCCTTATGGAGCACATAATTATAAATGAACTCATTAAATATGTGATGCTTCTATTTGGCATCTTTTCTTTCACATAATGTTTTCCACATTCAATAATGTTGCTAGGTTTGGTGAAAATGCCTATAATTCCAGCCACTTGGGAGGCTAATGCAGGAGGATCACAATTTTGAGCTGAGCCTGGGCAACTTAGCAAGATTACGTCAAAAATAAAATTTAAAAAAGATCTGGATGGCCAGCGATTTAGCTCAGTGGTTCTGCCACCTGCCTCACAAGTGCAAGGTCCTGAGTTAGATTCCCAGTACCAAAAAAAAAAAAAGATCTGGGGATGTAGTTCAATGACAGAGTGCTTGTCTCGTGTGCCCTGGGTTCAATTCTCAGTGATACCAAGAAAAAAAAATCTATCCCCTTTAACCTATCAATTCCTCTTTTCTGGAAATTTATTCTGTAGAAAAAATAGTGGATGTTCCAACTATTCAATTAGATATTGAATATTAGAGGATATTTAGGAGAACATTCTGTGAAAATTTTAGTGTATGTTAATTAAGATTTAATACGAGCTGGGGGCAGTGATGCATGCCTGTAATCCCAGCTATTCAGAAGGCTGAGGTTGGACAATGGCAAGTTTGTGGCCAGCAGTGCAAATTAGTGAGAGTTTGTCTCAAAAACGGAAAGGGGCTGGGATGTAGCTTAGTGGTACAATGGCTCTGAGCACAATTGCTAGTATTGCCCCTCCCTCAAAACAGGTGTTTTTGTTTTTTAACTTCTCTGGGTGTTAGAATTACTAGTACTAAAATTATTTTCTTCTCATCCATATTTTCTTTTTAAAATTAATTTTATTGGTACATTTTAGGTATACAATACAATGATATTCATCATTGGAAATTTGCACCTTTATATAATTTCTCATTTCTTATTTTTTCCCCATTCCCCTGCTCATCCATATTTTCTAAGTTAACTACAATGGATAATAAATTACTACTTTGAAATGGAAAAGTCACTTAAAAATGTAACAAGCTGCTCTAAGAAATCATAGCTATTTTTCTTTCTTCCCCAATGATTTATAAACAATAATCCAACATTTAGATGACTTTTTGCAACATTTAGATAACAATATGGAACCAGCTGAATCAGTTACACTTGCCAGCAGCCTCAGGGACTGCATGCCCTGCCTTCCTTTGGTACCCATCATAAACTCTATATACAGAACTTTGTGTTATACAAGCCAGGGATAAAAAGATGTAAAAGACTTAGAGATTTGGCTTAAATAAGAGACAGAATAGTTGAGAGAAACAGACATGTAAATTCACAACTAAAAACCAAGGTATGTTTGAAAGTGCTGAAGAAAGGGACAGATGATTTCAATTAGGAGAATAAAGACATGATTTTGATCACTAGTCACACACAATTTACTTTTTTCTCCTTCTCCAATATACTACTGAACCATTAAGATCATAAAAGAACTGAAATGCACTGTATCTATTTCCATATTCTAAATAAATGTTTATTAATCCCACTTTTCCTTCAGGCCAGCTTACGTGCCACTTCACCTGGGTTTCTGTGGGGAAGAGCACTTCTCCTGATATGCCATGACTGGATTCCATGCCCATTTCCTTTCTTACACTGACAGCTAGCTTTAAGAAGGCAGAAACTATACTTAGGTCTAACCTATCCTAGTATCCCTCCACTGAACTGGTTTTACTAGGTATGTATCATGTCAGGTGTTTAACATCTCGACAAAGAAAATGTACAAGTCCTACCTGGTGGGGTTCCTTTTGTCTTCCTCAGAGATCAAAAACCAAACAAAATCTGCATAGCTCATTCTTCCCTCTTTCTGCACAGTTTTTCCTCTGAAGAAAATACATGGTTATAATATTTCCTAAGCAATTAACAAAGTAACATTGGGTTTTAGAAATGTAGTTTAAAAATCAGAATGCAGGATTATCTCATAAAGCACAACCCTTCTGGACCTATCTTATTTTTAAAGGCCTACAGAGTAAAATGAGAAAATGTGTAAATATGGAGAAAAGAAATCTGCAAATGAATGAGATCAAACATTGTTTCCTGTATTTATATGTAAAATACTCATATTAAAGAATTACTGTCTTGTATCAACCATAATTGTACATTTTGTAAGGTATCATTTGACCCAGTAGCAATGCCAAATTATGCGGAAAGCCTTGCTAAAATGGAAGTGTTATGGAATCACTTATACAGTGATATCTCGGTTGGCAAATTCAATTTGTTCCAAATTTGTTTGACCACCAAAAAGTTCAATAACTACACATATTTTTCCCATAATGGAAAATCAAATAACTGGTTCTGAGGGCCAATAATTGCACATATAAATTAGTTTTTCCAGGACTTTATAACAAATTTTGCAATGATTTCTTTAACTCTATTGTGGTTCTCACAGTTTTCCTCTTAGCTTACTGTTAGTATCATTTTCTTTGGAGCCATGGTTATGATATTTTACACAAAGTGCCAAAAACCACACAGTGACAAATGTTTAAATGCACTAATGTAAGGACTATATGTTGTTTAGGTGAGAGCAGCACTTAGACTGTTACCATTTGCATCTGTTGCGAGATGCTATGCGTGAATCACTTTCGGCTGTACAGGTTTTTTCAAGTTGGGTTTTTGGTTTGAATATGGACCAAAGTTACAAACATCGAGCAGATTTTTTTCAAACTTTTCTGTTTGAGTGGTGCAAAGTTCAAGTTTGGAGATGTTCAACAACCTACGTATCACTGTAGTTCATTTTTAAACCAGGTTTTAAACTTTTTCTTACCTTGTTACTGCCCCAGAGAATATTCTTTCAATTATTCTATTTGATGAAGCTAAATGCAAATAAGAAATTACAAAACTAGTTACAAACATTCCTTACTATTTCTGGCAGATTTACTTTCATTTGCTACAAGCTAAACCATAACAATCTTCTTTGATAAAAATGAGTGGGTCTTAATTATATAGTATTTATACTTTTTAGAAGATTAAAGTAGCTTCCTATCAATTAGTAATTTGGGGGGAGGGTACTGGAGATCAAATTCAGGACCTTCTGCTTGGAAGGCAGGAGGCGGCACCACTCAGCTAAATCCCCAGCCCTCAATTAATAATTTTAAAAAAGAACAAGCAAATGAATGCGCTCCTATTTTTGTACTTAAACAGTTGAGCTCTAAGTTTATTTTGAAGATCCTGATAAGACAAAAAATGTATATACTTTGTACTGATCTTATTACTCAGTAAGACAAGACAAATTTTCCTGTAAAACAAAACAAATTTTATCCTAATATTAAATTCAAGGGGGAACTGACTGTGCAGCTCTTAAAACAATGTAAAATAAAACAAAATAAAAAAGAATACTTTCAAGCAGTTTTAGAAAAGATACCAAAACATACCATAAACTTACTTTTCCTTATTCTCGTTTTATGACTCCAGAATATAACATAAAATTTTTAGAAATTCATCAGTAAATTTTATTTACAGAGACAATTACATCTTAAGACATTATGTTTCTTTTTTATAAATCCTACAGAACATGTCACAGTGTACCTCAGTGTGGATTCAAAATAGCCAAAGGCATTAGTTAAAAAAAAGAGAGATGCCTACAGATAAAAGATCTGTTCTTCAAAAAGTACCCCAGGCAATGGCATGCACATTACAATTTCCTATGGAGTTAGCAGCTGTCAGCATCTAATTCTTCTACATGGAGTTATACACAATCAACAGAAAGGATAATCAGTTTGGCTGAAGAAAATTAGGAATATGTGTGTCAGGAAAGCCATTCATACATACATTCATTACATAAAGATCTTCCATACTTTTTTGGGTACGGGTTTATGGGGTTAATTTTGTACTGCCCAGAAAAAAAGAGGGCTTGATATAGGAAAGGCAAGAATATTTAATCACAAACCTAACATCTTTTTAAAAAAGGCTTTTTAAAGCTTTGGAAGCTTTTAGCCTCTTAAAACTGAAGATCATGTTATTACATTTTGTGTCATTAAGCACAGTTTAGTGAGTGAATAATTATATAGAGTTTAGTAACCTTTTTATTTATGCAAGCCTGGACATCTGCTTCTCTGGACTTCATCCTTTAACACGGGTCTAGTAAGCGGGCTATGTGAGTATATACAATGTTTGGGGACTTGGAGACTGGCTCATGCACAAATGATCTGTTCATGGGCAGTGGGAAGGTACATAACTAATAAGGCTGATCTGATATTCTGACGAATATATACATCTTTATGCTATTCTGGTGATGAGAAGGTTATGAATATTTGAAAGGAGGCAACAGTACTAATGTATTTATCAAATAAGTACATACGAATATTTCTCCTTAGTGTCTGTGTGGCACTTGTGAATTTGAGAGAACTGTTTCTTAAATATGCAAAGCTCTAAGAAACCTGACATCATATACAAGGAGCCTTTTAAGACATGTATTAGTCACAGGTACACAAAGTAACAGAAACAAAATTCCTTGTATTCATTTAAGATTTGTAGTTTCAAAGATAAAGTCTAATTTAATGCTGAGAAGTGATTTAAGGATAGAACAGGAACAATCTTATGGCAGTAGAATGAATCAATGTATCGTGGTGCTTGGTTAAGAATATTAAATCAGTTCACAATAAGTTCTATCTTTACTATAGGCAAAAGTGAAGCAAAAAGCATAATACCATGTGATATGTAAATTTTTGTTTTCTTAGAAAAGAAAGCATATGAAATTCATCTCTAGAGAAAAGATCTTTTTGGAATTAAATTTAAAAAGTAAGTATTTATGAGTCCTTCAAAATAAACCTTGGCAAAACAGACATTTTAACCCATGGCTTTTTATGAAAATACTGTTAAATGAGAAAGTCTATAAAAGGTGCATATTTTCACTCATATAGATTTACACAGGTGCACATCTTATTCATCACCATAAAAATCACTACAAAGACTTGCTGCTTTCTCAAAACTAATACTGTGATTGCTTACCTACCTCCAAATCCCTTCTACATCTGGCCTCTAAATAAATTAATCAAATTATGTTTGCTAATTCCCACTTAAAAATTCTTGGCTTTGTAGTAAGATATGATTAGATATATAACTTAAGAAACGAGAATTTTTCATAATGAGTGGAGATAATTTATGTCATTCTTTAAAATGTTTAAGTCTTAGCATCTATAGAATCACTCACCCTGGTCATTGTATCGAGAGAGATCTGCTTGGCTGATGTACAGGTCATGATCACTATCTAGTTCCCAGAATTTACAATAAATAACATAAAAATGTTCATAGGAGAAGTAATCTGTGATTTGATTTATATCTTCTTCTTCTTCCAAAAGGGCTAGAGTCTGAAATAGTATGAACAGAGGAATTAATTAATTTTAAAATTATGAACAACCAGCAACTAGCTTTGGCTACTGTAGAGTCTAGCAAATTTTTGTTTTAAACTGAATTTAAAATGTTGTTATTCGTATATAACCACCTACTATCTTTAACTGATTCATCTAAAGCTTTTTTTTTTTTTTTTTTTTTTGGTGAGGCAATAGGCAGAACAGAAAACAGGGAAAGGACTTCAACTTGAAGAAGGACTTGTGGGGACTTCAGCTCTGATGAAGAGGATGAGACTGGTCCCTTAGTGTTGTAGAGGACATAAGAGCAGAGAAAGGGTAGCATGGGGAAGACCCTCACCAAGAGGGCTGCAGCTGTCAGAAGTCCCTACTAGCAAGCATACAACAATTAAATGACAGGCTCAATTACATGGCCATAAACTAATCTTGCTCTTAACTTTTCAGTTAGGTGAGCAATATTAAGACTGGGCATCCACATATAATGGTTAAGTTTTGTAATGAAATCAAGTTTATCATAAGGATTATCTATAAGGGTGCCTGGGGTAAAAGGCCTGGTGGGTGGCACTGAAGGGCCCTGAACTGAGTAAACGAAGTCTCCCCTCACTTACCATGCATTTCTAGGGAAAATACCAGAACCAATGGTTTTGAACCCACAACCCTACAGTCAATCAAATTATCATATAAATGGGTAAATGAAGGCATTTTTAGAAATGAACAATTCAGAGAGCAATATAAAAGAAATTTTAAGAAAACTTAGGAAACAGAAAGAAATGAGATGGCAGAAATAAGGTAAGATATATCAATAATAACAATAAAGATAAATGAGCTAAATTTCCTTACTAAAAGATTTTGGATTAAGTATAAATCAAGGCCCCAGGCTGGGCATGGTGGCACATGCCGGTAATCCCAGCACTTGAGAGGTTGAGGCAGGAGGATCATTGTGAGTTTGAGGCCAGCCTGGGCTACATAGTGAGTGAAAGGCCAGCCTGAACTGCATAGCGAGATCCTGTCTCAAAAAACCAAAACAAACAAACAAAAAAACCCCCAAAAGCCAAGGCCCTAAAACAGATGTAGGTATGTGCTGTCTATAAGAGATATGCCTAAAATAAAAAGGGTAATAAAAAGGTAGGCAAATATATACTAGTGAAATGTTAACAAGAAGGAAAACATGTATCATTATGAACAGAAAATAAAGGATTTCCAGATGAAAAGATAAAAGACAAAGAGGAGTATTTTGTAATGTAAGTATATTACTCTAATTAAAAAACTTAAAAAAAAATGGAGACATTGGGGAAACAAAGTTTGCTGGCAAATTGAAAATAGTATAAATTATTAATTATGATAAGTCTGCTTACTGGAAGATTATGCTGTGAGTGAAAATTATAGTTCACATACACACAAAGGAAAACCATGATGTAAACCATGATGCAGTAATTTCAAAATATAGGATACACAATTAAATACACCAAGAACTACGTAGAATTCTAAAACTCATATATGCATATGAAAGAGCTTAGACTAGAACAATAAATAAAAAAATGACACCTGTACTATTAGGGTAATAAAATACAGCTTTTCTTCTAAAATACCATTTAATGTATATAACACAGAATACCTTTAATAAAATGTATCTTTAGAAGAAAGGAACCATCATTTTCACCCACTGTCATAAAATGAACAAGAGAGAGAATTTATAGTGTTGGTGAGCATGTAGGTAAAGTATGAACTAGGCAGGATCTATCTAACTAAAACTGCACTTATCATTTGGTCCAGGATATTTCCTCCAGTGTTCTATTTTATTATTTTTTTCCCAGTGGTCTATTTTAAAGAAGTCTTATGCATGTACATATACGAGGAAGGTATAAAGACATTCACTATGACTGTAATAGAAAAAAATCTGAAAATGACCTGAATATCAATAGAGGAATATGTAATTACAGTAAGTCATGTAATCATTTATACAGGAGTTAGAAAAATGAAATAGATTTATGTGAATGGGAATGAAAAGAACCCAACACAATGTTAAGTGAAAAAACCAAATTAACAAAATAGTAAGTATGAGCCCATGTATTAAAAAAATACCTTCAAAATGTCAGCCTCACAACAAACTATATATTACACGTATGCATTTATCAGGGAATAAATCTACAGCTAATATTGGTTCCCTCTGCAAAAGGGAGTAAAATAGTAGGGTGAAGAGATAAACAGCAAGTCCTGCTTATTTATTACCTTACATACATCACCTTATTTGAATGTTTTATGAGTATTTGTTCATGCACTAAGAGAAATACTAAGGAGAGGGGCAGGGAAGAAAAGGGAAAGAGAAAATAAATCATTCTCTCCAAAGAGAACATTAGAGAACTACCTTGAGTTCAGCTACTTTCTTGGTATATGCTCTTATATAAGTCATTCAATTAGAGCCTAAAATTTTATCATCAGTAAAAACAAACCAATTACAATAATGAATCAAAAACTACAAATGAAAATGTGCTTCAGGAATGTGAGAGATTATTATCATTATTGAGCTGTTATGGAATTACTGCCATCTTAACCCAGCCCATAATACCTACTGAGAGCCTAGGCAGGCATCAGGTGTTCAATAAATATCAATAATGACTGTGGTGATGACTGTTCATTTTAGAATAACAAAATGTTTGTATCTCCACCATGGACTGCTAATTTTGCCAAATCTTCATTACCTTGCCTGTCTCCAATGAAGATAGGAAAAAATAAAGAGTAATAAGGTTGTTTTATTAGCCTAAGCTTCATTTAGTAAGATTCATTTAAAATAAAACATTTCTTTTCCTTTCAAGTATGAGTAATTCCACTTCTGGCTTACAGATGCTTAAACAATCAGACATGAAGATTACCTTGGTGAAAAGCTCCCACTAGTGGTCAGTACTTTCTCTGTATTCTTTTTTTTTTTTTTTCTCTGTATTCTTTCTTAAAAGAAATTTTTAGTACTCTTCTCTAGCAGTAGCTGGATAGAGTCATTGATGAGAGGAAAACCCATATTCTTCCATTTATTTTGTAAGGCCATTCCCAACCTGGTCTCAGCCCAACCTTTTGACCTATTTCTGGTCACTCTTTTAGGGCTTTTGGCTACTTAATACCATTTGGCAGTTCTTCAGCATGAGACTTTCATGCTTCTGGCTGTTGCTTATGCTGCTTCTTCTATCTGGAATCCTCTTTCTATTAGTTTTTTAAAAAGTCTTGGTAAACTCCTCATATCCTCCAAAGTCAAGTTTATGCCTTCTTTTGAGGATTCCTCTGCAGCTTTTATACATGTATGCAGAATTCATCAAGTCTGGTGTGGCTGTCAGTTCATTTCCCTCTTTTGTTCACAGTGTATGCCCTCAGGCAGAGATTCCCTGTTATCCCTCCCTCTCCAGCCAGTATCTGGGGTCTCATTAGGGGTATTTGATACGCGCATAATGACAAAGTAGTGACAATGCTTTGCATAGGGTAAGCACTCAAATATTTGATAAGTGAAGTGAAAGACTTTAAATTGCTTTTTATATCTTTATATGAGGCATACTTGCAAAAAGTTGCTTTTTCTTATCTCTGTTGAAGTAATTTTTCCACTCCAAGATCTGTTGACTGTGTAGAATATTCTCTGAATAACCTAGTTTCAAAAAGAAAACAAAACCAAATAAAAACTTTAATGATCTCTATTACTTTATCAAAGGTCACCTTATAAATATATTTGGAACCAACAGTTTTGACTTTTTAATGTCAAATGTAGTACGTGAAATACTAAAAAATATTTTAAACTTGCATTTTTATATTATGAATCTACTACTGTACTTTTGAGAAAGAAAAAAAAATCTCTACTTTCAAGTCTTCATTTCTCAGTTGCTTATACAATATTTCTTGCTTCCTTCTCACTTATACAGTGATGCTTGATTCAAGTAGTCTTTATTGGGCTGGATGTTTTGGGAGGGCAAATAAGGGGAGAAACATCTGCTGAGTTGGCTTAGTGACTGATGAGTCAGAAGGGTGGCTATCATGGTTCAAGAAGGCATTATTCTGGTTATTAAAGCTTTATTCATTGTAGTTTTGAAGACTTTTGGTTTTCCAGACTGTATGGAAGCTCATATTCATTTGAGGTAATTTATACTCTCACCTTTATTTGGGCATGAACATCTCTGTCATTGGCTAGTGTTTGTTTTTTTTTTGAAGCAAAATATTTATTAGTAAATTTTAGATATACATAATGATAACATTCATCATAGGGAATTTGTACCTGTACATGATATATCTTCTTTTTTTTCCCCATTCCCCTCCCCTCTCTTTGGCCCCGCCTCATTTATAAAAGCTTTGTTTCCATTTTTCCTTCTATTCTTTTTTCTCGTCCCTTTTTTCCTTTCCTCCTCCTCCCTCCCTTGTTCCCCTTAGCATCTGAAAATTTTCTTCCCATTTCCCAATATCTATTGTACATTTTGGTTCTTATTTCCACTTTCAGTTTCTCACACCAGAGAAATAATGTGGTATTTAAACATATGTGTCCGAATTATCTCATTTAAGGGTATGGTCTCAAGGTGCATCCATTTAGCCATAAATGTCTGAAACTTATCCTTGTTTATGCCAGAGTAGTACTCCACTGGATAAAGTAAACCTCTACATCTTCTTTATCCATTGATTGGTTGATGTGCATTTGGTGTGTTTCCAAGATTTAGCCATTACAAACTGTGCCACTATAAACATGGGTGTGTGTATATTGCTGTGGTATGATGGTTTTAATTCTTTCGGGAAGATACCAAGAAGGGAAATAGCTGGGTCAAATGGAACTTCTAGTTTTAGTTTTTTGAGGGATCTTCACAATGATTTCCACAGTGGTTGCACCAGTCTATACTCCCACCAACAGTGGAGAAGGGTTCCTTCTCTCCCCCCGAACCCAGCATTTGTTATTGGTTAATTTCTTAATAGCTAGTCTTCCTGAGTGAGATGGAATCTCAGTGTTGTTTTAATTTGCATCTCTCGAATGACCAGTGATGCTGAATATTTTTTCATATATTTACTTGCCATTTCTACTTCTTCATTTGAGAAGTGTCTATTCATTTCAGATGCCCATTTTTGGACTGGGTCTTTAAATTTGCGGGATCTGATTTTTTTGAGTTCTTTATATATTCTAGATAGTAGTTCTATGTCTGAGGTGGCTAGTGTTTTAATGAATTTAGCAGAAGTGAAACTCTGGAAAAGACCAGAGAGAATATGGAAAGGAGACAGGAAACATGTGTCTAGATTGGGGATGTGTGTGCTGCAGTGCAGGGGAGAACTGGATGAGGACAGAGGGTGTAATCCTGGAGGTAGGAACTCATAACGCATTCTTAACAATTTTACCTGTGGTTATTCCTACCCACTTATTTCTTCCTCCAACAGGAAATAGTAGTGACAAGTACAATTTAAATAGATTTTTTTTGGCACCGGAGATCGAGCTCGGGACCTTGTGCTTGCGAGGCAGGTGGTGGAACCACTGAGCTAAATCCCTGGGCCCTTAAATAGAATTTTTGGTACTCTGGTTTTTATTTTGATAGACTTATAATATAGAAATCTTGGTGATTTTATTTTGGAAGAGGTCAGAATCTTTTCAACCTGTCTTGATGCAAGAAGAACAAAGAAGCGAAGACATCTGTACATCTTTCCAAAAAAATAGGTCTTAATGAGGGACTAAACCACTACTCTGCTTCTGGATTCTTCAGCAAATAAGTAATTCTCAAGGAAACAGAGGGAAGCTATCAGCAGGATGCAGGTCCAATTTCTGTTGCCCAGCATTCACCACCACATGCTTGGTGTCTGTGCTAACTCCTGACCTTTCAGAATGGAGCTCAAATACCCCAATTCAGAGGAAGCCTCAAAACAGAAAGAACTCTGTCTTCTGTGCTCCCACTGCCTCTGAGCATCCCTCAGGCATCCCCATGCTTATGTTATGTTTGAAACCCTGGAGTACCTGATTGTGATCAACTCCAAACTCTAGAGACCTGGTCTTTTATTTTCCCCCAGTACTGGGGATTGAACCCAGTGCCTTTGCACTAAGCTACATTCTCAGTCCTTTATTTTGAGACAGGTCTTGCTAAATTGCTAAATTGCCTAGGTTGGTCTGGAATATGGGATCCTCTTGCCTTAGTCTTGTACAGTGCTGGGACTAGATGCATACAACACTATGCCTGGCCAATAGTTGTCTTTCTTGACTTGCTTCAGTCATTGTCTAATCTGATACTTTGCATATAATCAGGCCAATAATGGCTTGATAAAATAAGACGGTTTGGTCCATACCTGGCACAAAAACAAAAACAAACAAACAAAACAGAAGGTTTGGACACTATGTAACAAAGACTTTGTGTTATCTTTGTGATAGAAAAATATGGATAGGTTTCATAGCTGAACAACTCTATTCAGAGTTTTGAATAGCAGATGGATATCAACTCTGAGAGAGGCCTGTAATATTTCATATAAATTGGTATTTGTCTATGATTTACAGATAAAGGGCATATAAAATGTATAAAAACATAAAATGGGGAAGGGTAATTATATTAAAAATGACTGTGAAAGATACTTCTAATGTAGCAATGTTTAATCCCGAGGAAAAAAAATAAGAGTGGAATGCAGATGTGATCATGTAGAAGCAGCTGACTTGTCCTGTTTGGGACCAGTGGATAATTAGAACCATGGAATGGAAGTGCCCTTATACTCAAATGCTTTGATATAAGGAAGCCTACAAGGCACTGGATTTGTATGAAGTCATGAGTTTACTTTTCACAAGTACTGAGGCAGAAGTTGACAGGATTCTTGCATCAGGTGGAAGCCAGGACTAGCTGGTGCCTAATATCTCTACTGGCCTTACCCACTCAGACTCTAAGGTTTCTGTGGCCAGAGAATGTGTCTTACTCAACACAGTATTCTCAGCAATGGCTTGGGAGTTCATATAAAAGAGGAAGATTTTTAGCACAGAAATTGTATACATAAAGAATCTCATTTATTATAATTTCATGCTCCCTCAAGTTAGTCAATTTCAATATACATACCAAACTTTGTCCTTTTTCTTGATTTTGAATATAAATTTAACTTACTCTGCTTCCTAAGTTTTATATTTATATATTTATGTTATTTGTAGAAATACTGTTTTACACTTAAAATTATAAACCTTTAACCTGTATTCATTTTTGCTTATTTTACTATTCTCCTGTTTTTGTTCTGACAGAACTTTAAACATTTGTGAGCAGTTAGGTGTTGCTTATTTTTAGCCTCTGCTAAACTATTTACTTAATACTATAAAATGATGTATCTATATTCCATTTTCCCATAGCCTACATCTCCTTATTCAGTGGCTCCATCAGCATATTTTCTGGTTTCCATATTACTGATTCAGCATTTTAGATTTTTTAGGTAGGGATACCATCTAGTGGTAAAAGCATGTAGCTGCTGGTTCAGTTATTTTTTTCTAATTTAGTCTTACCATTTTTAGGCAAATAAAAATCACAATTTTTAAAATACAAGAAAACCTTAAATAATAATCAGGATAATTATTTACTACCAGTGAGAGGAATAAAACATAGTCTTTCACTAACGGATTGCTAGTTGACTTGACAGAAGTCACTTTTCTTTCTTCTACACATTCATTCACCTGGAAACCTCTAATTCACAAATACTGACAGCCAGGAATGGAAGTATTCAGTGGCTCTGTCATATAGTTTTTTCCCCCCTCCAGTACCGGGGATCAAATTCAGGACCTTGTGCTTGTGAGGCAGGCGTGGTGCCACTGAGCTAATTCCCTGGCCCTCTGTCATATAGTTCTTTTTTTTGGTACCGGGGATCGAACTCGGGTCCTTGTGCAAGGCAGGTGGTGGAACCACTGAGCTAAATCCCTGGCCCCTGTCATATAGTTTTTGAAATGAAAAATTCAGGCTCAGAAGTCCTCACTGTAGATGACCTGAGTGCAGATGAACACACTCAAATGCTAGAAGCCTCACTCTTCCACTTGGCAAGCAGTGGTAACTAGATTACTAACTCATTCTTTGGTTAATATGGCTCTCAAAAGTACTTCTTTGTGGTCTTCTGTGGAATATGGAAAACTAAAAATGTGTCTAATAAAGGTGATATCTTTCTCTGCTAAGAGGAAAACATTTCAAGGAAAAAGTTAATAATTAAGCTTTTAGGGATGAGCAGTCTCTACCAAATGGGTTTATCATCTTAGAAAATATGAGTATAGAACCTTGTGATCCCCAACAATTAAAATCCTAGCGATTCACTCTAAAATGATTAAAGCCAATCAACATATTGAATACATCATCTGAATAAGCCACAAAAATCTTTACTTCTAGCACTAGTGCCAGAAAGAAATTTTAAACCTCACTGCTTATTTTAAAAACTTACATCTTTCCCCTTAAAAGTTGGCATATAAGAATTTGGACAAGCAAAGCACATTGGTATTTTTCTGCTATTTCATTTTCATTATCAAGAGGCTTATTCTGATTTGTTAACTCTTTCCAAAAATAAAGGAGAAGAATATGGACTTTTGATACAATCTATTATTTAGGTCATGCTCTGTCTTTCCAGTCTAAAAACAACTGATAAAATATTACTCACACAAAAAGTCTTTTCCTGTAGCACAGGTTGTTTTTTGTTTTTACAGTACTGGGGATTAAATCCATGCTAGGCAAGTGCTCTATCACTGAGCCATATCCCCAGTCTTGTTAATTTTTATTGTGAGACAAGGTCTCACTAAGTTGCCTAAGCTAACCTTTAACTTGTGAGCCTCCTGCCTCTGCTTTCTAAGTTGCTAGGATTACAGGCATGAACCACCACCTGTGACTTATGGCACAGGTTTTCAACCATAATTAGAAAATAAAAGTTGTCCAACTTTTCCTCATCATGTATGTACCACATATTTGAGTCATACTTCATGTTAGTGGTTTCTTCTAACTTTAAAGTAACTGAAGTATTCCTGTATGCAAATGTAATACACATTAAGTATCCTTTATTCAAGATGTAATACCAGAAATGTTTCAGATTTTAGACTGCTTTAGATTTTGGAACATCTCTATAGACTTTACTGGATGAGTATCCTTAATATGAAATGCTCCAAAATCTGAAACTTTTTTAGTGTTGATGTTTTGGATTTTGTAATATTTTGGATTTCACATTTTTGGATTAGGGAATGTTCAAGCCACTGAGATTATATAACATTCAATTAGAGATCATATGAAAGAATGATTTTGCTTTTCTGAGATATTTGTCATTAATTCTAAGTTTCTTAGAATAGTATGATCTTATCTGTTTTCCCACAAACAGGGTAGAAAATGATGTTTTAGTTTGGTTAATTTTATGCCTAATTACAAAATTAGTTAACTTCATACTGAAGGGCCTTATTTTGCATTTCTTCTAGAAAAACTCATTGTACTCTAAAATAATGCAAAATTTCAATGAGTTCATGACATTATTTGATCAAGTTTCATAAAAGAAAAGACACTGGGGAGAACAGATAACTAGTTTAATAAAATTCTATTTCCAAATATTCATTGTTCTATTTTATTTGGACTTTTCTTTTTTGGGTATTAATATGAGACTCTCATAACATCAGTTATTCACTTAGTACATACAGATTCATATTCTATATTCCCATTTGACTCTTATTTACTATTTGTTATGATGTTGTTTTGAGTTGCTATATTATTTCATCTCAAGCATTTTATAGTTTAATTACGACTTCTGAGAAATGAATTTATTTCTGTGAAATAGGGATAAAGCAGCATAATAGTAACAAAGTGTAAATTTAACAAATGTAAATAATAATATGCAAATTCCATAAAAACACTGACAACAGAGATAATTATATTCTGTTAATTCAACAGTATGTTTTTTTATTTTGTTCAGTGATTAACATGACAAAATTCTTTTAAAAATGTGAATTATAGGTGAAAAAATAGTTTCATGGTTTTTCACTTTAAAATCATAAGATTTCCAGGAGCCAGGGATTTAGCTCAGTGGTTCCGCTGCCTGCCTCGCAAGTGCAAGGTCTTGAGTTTGATCCCCGGTACAAAAAAAAAAAAATCATAAGACTTCCTGAGGACCACCTGCTAGGTTACCAGAGACCATTGTGGGCCTAAAATACCAAACTAGAAAGAACAGAGAAAGAAAATTCATCTGTTTTACTTTTCTGTTCATTAACATTTTGTTTGGTACCCAGGATTGAACTCGGCATTAACATTTTTTAAAAGAATGAATTCCAATAAAAAGTTCTTCCTTAAGGGAGCATTTTCTTAAGTGATATAAGGTTGCTGGACTTTATTATTTCTAAAATCTTTCCCAACTTTGAAGATTCTAAATTATGCTGCTAAGCTGCCCTGAGTTTACAGAACAGCTTGTAACCAGACCTAATAATTCTCTTTGAGATTGCAGCAGAGCTAATGTGGAATCCTTTAGCAAGAATAATTTCATTTATTCACTCAATAAATATTTAATGTGTATATCTAAAATGTACCAATAAATGTTTTGCTTCAAAAAAAAATAATGTATGTCTATTATATGTCAGGCACTATTCCAGTACTGGGGATAGAACAGTGAAAAATACAGACAAAGTCATTGCTCTCATGGACTTTAACATAGAGAAGGAGATGGAGAATAAATATTTAAATATTTGATAAGAATAAAGAGGAAATATAAAGCAGGACAAAGGGAACTGAGAGTGTGGGGAAGGGAGGAGAGAAAGAGGAGGGGTCAAGAAGACAGAATGATCAAGCAATATCTGAGAAAGTTCCTGGATGAAGGGACAGATCATCAGCTTTGGGGAAATCTGTAGAAGAGGAAGAGAAGGAACAAAACACCTGAGGTAGACATGGGTTTGGTCTTAGGAACATGGAGGAATGGGAAGGAAGTAGAAGGCATATCTGAAAGCAGGACTGTGAAGGTGTGGGGTGGATAGATCATAGTCTTGGCAAGGACTATGGCTTCTATTCTGCCTGAGATAGGAAACCACAGAGGGGTTTGAGTGGAAGACGACATGACCTGACTTACATTTCTTTCTTTGTTTCTTTCTTTGTTTCTTTCTTTCTTTCTTTCTTTCTTTTTTTTTTTTTTTTGGTAATGGGGATCGAACTTGGGACCTTGTGCTAGAGAAGCAGGCGCCGGAACCACTGAGCTAAATCCCTGGCCCTGACTTACATTTTTGAAAGACAACTTTGTTTGCTTTGGCCAGTGACTGTAGACTATAAGGCAATGAGGTTGGAATCAGAAAGACCTCAGAAATTTGAAGTAATACAAATAAGAAATGAGCACGATCGGGCCAGGGTGATTGCAGTAGAGGTAATTTAGTATAGTGTTATGATTAATGATGACAGTGACACCTTCTCACTCATACAAAATCCTACAAAGTTTTATAATGATGAAAGGGAGCCAACAGAAAAGCAAAGAATGAAGTTTCCATAGAAGAATAAAAAAACAGTAGTATTTTTGTAACATTGTAGAGCTGCACCCTCTGAATGGCAAGGTGCTTCCTAGGGCTTGTGTTTGTAATACTCCTGAAGATAATCTGGGAGGGAGGGCAGAGAATGCATGCAATGGCTGTCATGGGCCCTACAGGCCTCATGGTTATGCCCTGCCTGTGATGGAGCCAACGACTGTGCCTGAGACACAAAGCAAGGGATTGTGGTTATTCTAGACTCATACATGACTTGTTTTCTGTTTACACACAAACTATCTCTCATTATACTAGCTTGAACTTTGAGATGCTACAGACACATCTTTTTCTGGGACAAACTGTTAAAAATTATTTTCAGTATTATTTGAAAATGTTAAAGATCAACTGGATATCAATTTCCATAACAGAATAAAAGTATACTTCTTAAGTCCAGAGAGAATGAGTAAGTATATTACTTTAATTTTATTTAAGCGAGAGATCTCTTTGAGGCACCAGACACATATAAGAAGAGAAATGGATATGAATAAAGAAATAATTAATTCAATTTTATCCCTTCTTCTACATTATAGCCTGAGTAAACATTAGCATAAAGATCAGGCTATGGATGTAGCTCTGTTCTAAAGCACTTGCCTACCGTGCATGAGGCCTTGGGCTTGATCACTGGTACCAACATATACACACATAAAAGATGAAAAGGTGCATTACAGTCATACTAAGACAAATAGGACTCAGCTTACTGTGGTGATGTAGCGGGAGTGGAATTCGGGAGCATCTTTCAGGAACGTAAGGCCAGGGTGTGTATCCACCACATCCTGAAAAAGATAAAAACCAAAACAAAATTAAAAGCACACAAAAAAACCCTATGGAATTTTTTGTTTCTGTATAGTAAGTTTCCAGATAAGTAAACCTGCTAATAAAATTGAATAATGTGCTTAAAATTTAATAATTTAAGCTCAAACTTTATTACAAGCATACTTATTTGATTTTCTGTATACACAGTATACTTAAATGTAATTTAAATTTTAATTTATCTATAGTTGGTGATTTGTTGTGCTTGCTTGGGCAGCACATATATAGTTGGTGACTTGTGAATGAAATAGAGTTATGTACTATACTGTAATTCTATTTTGTTGTTGTTGTTTTTTGGTACTGAGGATCGAACTCAGGACCTTGTACTTGTGAGGCAGGCACGGTGCCACTGAGCTAAGTCCCCAGCCCATGTTGTTATTATTACTATTTTTTTATGTTGTTATTATTTTTTGAGACAGGATCTTGCTATTTGTTCAGGCCAGCCTCAAACTCATGGTTATCCTCCTGCTTTAGCCTCCCGAGAGCTGAGATTACAGGCGTGCACCACCATGCCCGGCTCCATACTGTGATTTTAACACATCAAGTCATGTCACGGAATTTATCCCACAGATCTTGATAGGGGTTGCTAAGTAATATTTACACAAAAAGAACGATATGCCTAATCCAATGGAAATGACTGTAGAGGCAAGAGATATTTTTTGAGAAAAAAGCCATTCAGCCAAGTAGTTTGAAATCTGTCTTTGTGAAGATGTGTGAGGCAGCTATCAGTTTTTATAATAATAATTGTGGACAAATCTGTTTTCAATTTAATGTTTTATTTTAAAGCCTACTATCTTGTTCTCATTGAAGATTATTAGAATTGAAACCTTTAAATACTATTATTTTCTAATTAGAATTTTAAAGCACTTTGAGCCTAGAGAATCTATTAGAGATAATTACTGTTAATTTAATAATTGGAGGCAACTCCTATGCAAACATACATAAATCTATTAATTTGCTAGTCATCAATGGACAGACATCAGTTATGTCTTTGTTTCTTCAGAGCAGTTAGCTATGCATGCCTACCAACATAGTCTGAAAACCAGTGGACCTTATCATATCTTTGATCTTTTAAAATTTGGAAATAATTTTAGACTTACAGATGACTTATAAAATATACTACAAAGAAAATTTCTTATGACCTTTTCCCGTCATCCTGTAATAACAATGATCAAAACTAGGGAATGAATGTTGATACAATACTAAACTACAGACCTTACTCAAATCTCACCATTTTTCCCCTTTCTGTTCTAGGATCATACTCTGTATTTTTATGTCTCACTGTTCTCTGCTAATTGTTGATAGTTCCTTTCCTTGTCTTTCATGATCTTAATGCTTTTAATGAGTTGTGTTCAGTTATTCTGCAGAATGTCTCCCAATTTGGTTTTGTCTGAAGTTCTGCATAATGAAGGTGTACATTACTATTTCTAGCATGAATAGCACAGAAGTGAGAAATGTGTTCTCTTCAGTGCCAGACTGTCTCATATCTGATGTTAACCTTGACTGCACCTGGTTCAAGTGGTGTTTGTTGCATTCTGTACCATAAAGTTAAAATTTTCCTTTGATAACTGGTAAAAAAATCATAAGGGAGATACTTTGAGACTATGCCAATAACCTCTTTTTCCTTGAACTTATGCCCCTTGATGGTAGTATTCATTGGTGGATCCTGCCTGCAATATTTATGTTGTAGTACCTAATGGTGACTTTGCATTTCTCTCATTCATACTTTCTACATTTAGTAACTGGAATTCTACAAGAGGAGATATCCCTTGTCTCCCATATATTTATTTGTTCACTTTCTGTCAGTACAGGCTTATGGGTATTTTATTCTATGGATTGCAATTCTATACGATCATTTATTTTTGCGGCTTAAATTGATCTAGCTTTGGCTATCAAGAGTTCTTTCAGACGCCCTACCGAGGTCCTGAGTCACGAGGAAGATGCCGAATCACCCCACTGCAGACAGGCAGGTCTGCCCACACCCTACCGAAGTCCCCAGTCCCGCGGAAGACGCCGAATCAGCCCGCTGCAGACAGGCAGGTCTGTGCACGCCCTACCGAGGTCCTGAGTCACGCGGAAGACAGTGAATCACTCCACTGCAGACAGGCAGCCACCTGATTCCACATTACCAAGGCGCAGAGGACACCAGACCACCAGACCAAGGTACTGAGTCCCACTGTTCCCGGCCCAGAGGTAGGGGCTTCTGAGCCATCATCCCACTGCTCCTG